GATCAAATATCTCTAAATTTCGATATGATTGATAATAATGAATTTAATTTTAGTGGAAATTAATTTAAATAATGCGCTTATTATTTTACTACAAATATAATCAAAATAATAGACAAAAATGTATATTTACTTACAAATCAATAACTGGAAAAAATAAATTTATTTATTGGTAAATCTATTAAAATACAGAAATGAAGATGTTTACTGAAAATAATTTTAAAACCCTAAGATATACTGATGAAAATAATAAAATAACGATTTAATTATTATATTGAAAAAATATTTTTAAATACTGGTAATTTAGAATTCTGGGGAAATAAATAACAGACTTTTTAAATTTCGAAAAAATAATATCAATCAGGCCCTTTAAGACCTGGCATAATTTCCTTTTATAATAAAGATTATTCTATCTGCATAGGTAATTAGGGAATTAGAGGTCGGTGAGGTTGAGCTCAAAGCCCTGATTGCGGGTTGGGAAAAAAGATATAGAGCCAGACTGAACGACTTGTAAGAAAATTTTAAAAACCGGACCGGATGAAAAATTTACAAACCGGGCCGAAAACCAAGATCAAAAAATTCCATGGGCCGGTTCGGGCTATCCCGCTAGGACATCTTTAGGGAAATTGCAAAATATCCTTCATAATCAGAATGTTTTTTTTCGAAATTCGATTAAATGATATTTGATTATTTTTAGAAATAATTGTTACATTAATTCTATTTATTACAATCATTTTATAAAGAATTCAAAGGCCGGAACTTTGTTAATGACATTCAGGACGAACAAACATTTAGATTACTCCAAAAGCTATGGTTTTAGTCGCAATCAGCTGACTCCCAAACTATCTTATGAAAACTCAAATGAGATAACAACCGCGAATATCTACGATATATATTTCGATGATAAGGAAATGCTACTTAACAAAGAAATAGTTAAAGATACAATTGGGAAAAGAGAAAAGAGAGATACTTCTTTAAATATCAATAATTCAATGACCATTATTTCAAAATTTGAGATAAGTGAAGAGAATAGAATGATAATATACGAATTCTATGACCCCGAGGAATCCTTGGACCCAACTTTCAAAAATGATATAGTGCCTTTTAAAACACGGATTATCAAACTCATGCAGAATCAATCTTCAGTGGTCAAAAATAATTTTAATTTATTAGAACATTCTCAAACATCATTCAAGGGTATATTTTGTTTGGGCACATTTACGGGGCGGTTGACACTGTGCCAAAGCTCCGATAAAAGCGCATCCCAACATTTAGATGAGCCGCTTGACAGAGAACGCGAAGACCGACACAATTTTACAGTAATCGCGAGATCGATATCTGTTGCTGAAGATCATCAAACCAATCGTATCCCCCATGATTTAAATCGTTATAGAGAGTCTCGAGAACATCTTTCCCCTGGAATTTTAAATGTTTCGAGAGACAAGACTTTTAGGGATTTAATTGGATCCAAACATGTTAAAATGAATATTTTATCATCTGCTTTCGCATTTATATTCGTAAAAGTGGAGGATATTGATGATAATGTGCCCAGGTTTGTGACAACGAAGACTAACAGAACACGATTTAACATTGATCCAAAAAATCAATTTAAAAACCTGAACGCTAAATTTGGAATATATCCTGTCCCCAAATTTCGTGATATAGCGCAGATGTTGATTCAACCGCCCAGTGAAGATACTTCAGTTATTGTGTCACAAAATGACAAAAATAATTTATTGTTGCCACCTGTTTTCGATTTAGAAATCATCGAAGATGATGAATACATAATACACACCGAAAATAAACTAATACTGAAAGACAAATCGGCGAAACATAAGCAAAAAGATCCTTTGGGTTATTGGAATGAATTAAGAAAAAATTCTTTCAATAGATTAAATACGAACACACCAATAGTATTCGCGGATAGAATTAGGCGAGATGGAATTAGATATATGAGAGAATTGGCGACATTAAATGTGAGCGACCCAGATTTAGGATCAAATGGAACTTTTTATTTTTGTCTCCTGTGCGCTGATTTCCCAGAAAATCATATCTCTCTCGAATATTATTCAGGTAAAATTTATTATTATGATAAAATATGAATTTTTCAAAATGGTGTTATATTTATTATTTTTTTTATGTAATAAAATTAAAACCAATACTCCTCTTATATTTATAAATTAGGCAAAATCCTCTCACACAAATACATAGACAGGGAATATAGAAACTCTTATTCTGCCTTAGTTCAAGTAAATTCCTCACCTTACAAACCTTGTGATCCAACCATCTACCAAGATTATGATTATAAAAATCCCAATTTAATAAAAGTTTGCCGAGATTTTTTAACGAGTAACGTCTCTTTCGATTCAAACGGTATAACTAGAAATCAACTGTCTAAACATCAAAATCTATCTCGGCTACTTGTAGATATTCGGGTCAAAGATATAAATGATCATCCTCCACGCTTTGAAAAATCGACTTATAATTTAGGTTAAAGTTCAATTAATACATATCAGTCATCTCATAACTATAATGGGGATTACACTGCCCCGTCCCCAACCCTTCCTCCCTCTAATACAATTAAAGGCAGATACGCCGTTGTCAATTTTATTTGCATGTAATCAGAATTATGAAAAATAAAAATTATTCTTTCTTTTTCGAATTACGATTATTTTCTTATTTTTTTTTTAGATAAAAGATCTTTCAAAAAGTTAATAATTTATACGATTATTATAAAACAATTTATATATTTTGCAATAAAACATATTTTTTTTTAAAAAAACTTTAGTGGAAAAATTGCATCTTAAAAAAGGTTCACTATAGTTTTTTGAGATTTGGACTAATTTGCTGTCGGATAAATAGCGTGGGCTTAGGTCAAAAACGAATACGTGTCAAATAATTTATTATTCGTATTCATTCGAATAATATAATTTATTATTCCAATTTGATTGGCATTATGAATAAAATATTATTCGATTAGTTTAAAATAATCGAACACGAATATAATATCAATCGATTCATTTTTGAGAAAAGGCCAAGGGTCGATAAAAAATATAAAGTATCTAAATTGCGAAATTTTGGAAGAATTACCCCCCCGGGCTCCCAATTAGTTTATATACATAATTTATTTATATAAGAGTGGTGAACACTCTTATCGACCGGACCCCAATCGTACAAATAATTTTGGAAAATTAGGGATTGTTCCTTCGATTAAATTTTTTTTTAAAATCTTCTCAGGTCTGCATTGGAGAGTTACAAGAAACTTCGTGGTTACGCGAATAAGAATTCTAGACAACGATACGGATGCTCGCTGTTGTCGCAATTATAGCTTAGAAATATCGGACATAGCTTATTACCGCGAATCGACTTTGAATTATGAACAAATAGTAGATAAATTCTTCGAGAATAAAATGTCTAAGGGAGAAAATAAGCTTTTTTCCTTGGAAAGCGAAACGAATTTAGAAGGTGACTCGATTATAACAGTTAGGAGCCGTATCTTAGGAATGGAAAAATTTGTGAATGGCTATTTCAAAATAAATATTAAAGTTAAAGATAACAATGGCCCCAAGGAATTCAGTGACTCCACTATATTAAACGTTTTAAAATATATATATACACTAGTATTAAATATTGATCTTTTCTCCATTTAAAATCAAATTCTTTTCTTTTAACATATAACCTATATATACGACACTAATAAAGGTATGGATCTACGGTGAAGGAAGAACTCTGATTATTACGATGAATGTTCGCGGAAAAATGGGTCAGAAGCAAATGTGCGCTAATTACAACAAGTAAATTGAAACGATTTGCCTATGATCGTAAAGTCATTTGATCGTAAATTCGTACTTTTCTGATTGATCCATTTCATAGTTGTAAATTAAGATTATATCTCAAATATTGTTAAAATATTACTTGGAATTGTCAGATATATTTAATAAATGCATATCTAGAATAATAACCTGCATAAAAATTTGTATTAATAATGATGTTTTCCATTTTGACCGAAATGGACGAAAATACGATCAAAATCTTACGATCAAAGGAAACCCTCCCATTGAAACAATATAATTTTTTCAAATTATTATAATAGTATACCTTATGTAATATTAATTTTTTTATTAAATTAAACTCACAATTTTACTACCACAGTATAGTGTCCAAGATCATGGGCAACAATATCATACTTTCAACTAGAGAAGCGGAAAGGGAGTTAAATAATTGTAATCGCGTGACGAATCTTGGACCTGAAGATTCAAATAGTAATAGTGATAACAAAAATATTTTGGAAAGTGTTTATGCCAATACGATAGTGACAAAAACCGTGTCGTTGCCTTTGCAAGTGGTAGATCGATCAGATTTTCATATCTTATCAGAACAACAAATATTGCATTTGATAGATTCTAAACCTAACTCCTTCCACCATTACCAAATTTCTTCTATGACCATAAAAAGTATAAAAGTAAGCCATCGACATTTAAAACGCCATTTTATAAGATAAAGATGTAAATTCGTTTATCCGATTAGATACAAATAATAAAATTATTCGATTCAAAAAATCGAATCGGATGCTAATAAATGAAAAAAAATTATTCGTCGAATAGTATATTCATTATTTGTATTAGCAATTCGAGAATATTTGACATTATTTGTAAATATTAAAAACTTAAGTATTAATCATATTCCTTGTGGAACTTTTTATTTTTTAAAATTTAATTTCAAATTTGAGAAATATTCGAATAATGGTCTTATTATTAATATTCGACCATAAAATTATTCAATTCTAAAGCGCTAAATGGTTTTTAAATTTTTATAATATAACAGTTAATTCGTGAATTCTAATCCATTTCATATCTTTTTTTAATTACTCGGGCCAGACTTGTCACCTTTATAAAGTTAAAATTTATTCAATTTTTTTTTCTAGCCCTTAGAAAAACCTATAAAACGATTAAGAGATATGTCCAAAAATATTTTGAACGTCCCTGGCTTTCCTCATCCTGATGTATTCTTGCAAATTATGATTGCGATTATAATGGGCGTGTTAATCATGATACCAATCGTGACTTTCATAATTATATTCGCGTTCAATGATGAACAGTCACCGTCCAAGTATATTTTCATTTTATCAGATAAAAAAAAACTGATATATATATATATACTGAACCAATATTAACACTCTGAACTGTAATCCAAATCTATTAACTTTTCCTTAGAAGCTTCTAACCCTAGCTTCACACCTTATATTTTTTAAATTTATAATCTTCTAAGACTTGCACCGATCTCACTTCTTTAACGCATTTAAAAACGATGTTAAAGTTAAAATATTGATCATTTTTCCATATTTAACATATGCAATAGTTTTAAAAACAACGTTAAAAGCAGAGTTGTACAAAAGATCTTCTTTGAAGATTTTTGAGCGAGATCTAGCTCAAAAATTTGAGCAAGATCTTTGAAGATCGTAAAATTTGAAGATCTTTTATTTTTTAAAAATTTTGTGTAACGATCTTCAAAGATCTTCATGATATTTATTTTTTTACCCCTTTATTAAAAGCCCAGATGTTTTTCAATTTTCATCAAGGCAGAAGGAGAGATATAAAACATAAAAGAAATATTATATTAATAAAATTGAAAAACATCTGGGCTTTTAATAAAAAGGTAAAAAAATAAATATCATGAAGATCTTTGAAGATCGTTACACAAAATTTTAAAAAAATAAAAGATCTTCAAATTTTACAGATCTTTTTATTTTGAGCAAATGTACAACTCTGGTTAAAAGTGAGCTCAGGCGAGGTCTAATAAAAAAAACAATCACCATGTGAATCTTATAACATTTAAAATTAAGTTTTTACCGTTTATGAGCTACATATCGAATTGTATTTAAAATTTTTGCGCTGTCACAATTTTAGCTTAATTTGATATAAAAAAAAGTGGCAGAAAAGCTTCATAAAATTTTTGCGCAATGGGGAGAGATTTTTGATAAAGTTTTCCCTAAAAATGCCATAATATTTTTTAGAAAAATTTTCCAAACATCTCCAATAACATTTTGCAATTTAGGAAATTAATTGCATCAAAGCATTCATATTTGACTTCAATAACTTCTATAAGTCTTAATCTACAGGCGCAATGCCGAAGAAATTCTGCTAAGCATTGTGGCGCGAGTTAATTTATTTCTGCTTTATTCAAGTTTGAGTTTATTTTTAAAAAACTCGAGGTTCAAGGTGATCGTTTTCGGTTAAATTAGGTTTAGCTGTTCATTCAGTAGCCTAAAAAAACTGAAACTGTATTTTCTTACTAAATTGTATCAAAATATTAATTTTTTTTTCAAAAATCCACCAGTTATATTTTTAAAATTTATATAAAATTCGATGTTCAAAGCATTATCAGTTCGCTAAACACTTTGGAAATCCCAAAACGCTTCTCATTAAATGATGATGACATCAGGTTAGTTATAACCCTTAACCCTAATATTTGTTCTTAAAATTATAAAACTCAAACACTAATTATAGCTTTTATTCAATTTATATGAACGGCCAAATGGATTTGAAGAAGACGACACTGGGCAACTTACAGAGATCAGTCAAACGGTAACTCGCTGCAAAAATATGTATTTTAGCTAAACAGGCAATTTATTATAACATTAAGTTGCTACTGATTCCTCCCAATTTCTTACTTTATCTTTTTTTTTCAAAGAATGTATTTTGTAAAAAGAAAACGTTTTAATTTAACAAATATTCATATCCTTCATTTATTAGTTAGTAATAATAATAAATTAAAAATATGCTCAAAATGAAGAAAAGAAAAATTTTAAGTGAAGCTTAGGAAAAGGTCATAACAATTTGAGAAAAAATGGCATTTTATTTCATTTACAGATGGTATCAAAAATGTTGATTAACTATAAAAACACAAAGATAAAATTATAATTATATATCATTTTAAAAATTGCGGGCCGTTAATATTCAAATCTTTTTTTTCTCGAAGTATTTAATTCTCGTATTAGTTTTAAAAAGTAAGGTTTTTTTTATCCCTCCGCAAAATTTGATTATTTACCGAGAGGAGAAATAAATATATAAATAAAAAAACAAAAAAAAATTGTTATAAAAGCTATAAAACGCTATCGTCGTTATACATAGGCCACTCATATATTCATTATTATTCAAATTATAAGTGTTGGAGGAAATAAATGTCATAATTCATAAGAAACGGAAATTGTTTTGTGGACATCATTTCGAAATCAATATGAATTTATGGGTAATGTCAAAGTCGAGATAAAATATAAATATATTTTATTTAAAATTTCATCCTTCAGAATTGAGTTTTTTTTAGTTAATAATAATTGTGACACCAAGTTCCGATCCATTTGATTCCACAAGCCTAAAATGGAAATAAATATTTTGTTAACTAAAAAAAATCAAGAAAATTATTAATTTCAGCAAGCGTAAGCAAGCTTATTCTAAGGCCTCGCACCACTTCTTTAAACGCTGATTTTTTTAAAACGCGTTCAATGTTAACAGAGATAAGGTAAAAAAATTATCGCTTTTTAATATTGCGAGCGTTTTAAAGGTTGTTAAAGGAGAGAACTAGGACCAAGCCTATGTCAAGAAAATCAACTTTTAGTGCCTATAAATAAAAAAAAAGGTTATCATCCTAATTCCTTATTTGTAATATTTGTCGCCCATTAAAACAGTTCACATTACAAAAAAATTTGGTTAATAAAACTTTTTATAAAATATCAAAAAGTTTCGAAACCTCAGCAAATTTAAAATTTGCTATATTTTCTAGAATGGACAGGATTTTATTTTTATATTTAAAATAGCTTATTTATTTATTCATTAAAGTTTCGAAAGTTTAAAAATTAATTTTTTGATGTTTTGGACATAGCCTTAGTATATAATGTTTACTAATCTAATCAATTCTCTTAGTAATGTGACTTTTTTTAAAAAAAAATATTAATTACGATTTTCAATTCCTGTAAAAAAAATAGGACTACCATTATAGAAAAGATTCTCACAATGGTTGCTCGCACTGTCATTTGCTCTTCCCTTATGATCTAATTGAACGACAATTAATTTAAAATGCCTTATCTATTTACGTTTTTCGCTTTGATGTGTAGTAAGATATTAATCGATAGTCTATTTTTTATGCTTGATTTTTTTTCTCGACACTAAAATGGAGTTTGTTTTTAATGAAATATGTCATGCACAAACCCAAGAATTCTGGTATAATAATTTGTTCTGCAAGTGAAAAAATATGGCCAAAATTCGAATAATATAAGTGATTATAGCCCGCCAATTTTCTAGCTTAGGCGGGACCCACTTGTTTTTAAAAAATAAAAATTCCTTTTATTAAATCATGCAAAATAAATATAAAATGATTACATTTTTTTTGTTGTTGATTTAAAAATCAGGATATAATCTCTTTAACGAGGTAAAGCAAAAATTCGTGGTAAGACATGGAGGATTCTGTTCTATCATCGTACATATAACTTTTGAAAAAATTCTTGTTCGGACCATCGTCTCTATATAATATATATATATATATAAATTCTATAGACCACATATAATATGAAAGTACACCTGATGACGATCGGTTCTTTGATATCACTGATGTTAGAAGCTAGGATCTATTAATGGCTTGCATATTGAGATAACCAGTACATTATACCATATGCATTCAGCCATAATGAAAAGAAACAATGATAATTACGTGCCCATTAATTTTATCCACTTGCAAATTAATACAATCATATCATTTATTAAAAAAATACAGGTAATAATACCGATTTATTTAAATAGGCCGATCTGAATATAGAATTCTTTTATTTTTAAGTAAGGCAATTATTTTAATGATAGCAAATTAAAAAATAGATTATAATATTTCTTATAGAAACTTTTCCCTCTGAATATTAACATATGTATCGGATTGCTTAAGGCACATGCACATATATTTAGAAATTATTTATTCACTACTAAGTTAAACGTTTTTAAAAATAAACATATAATTTTTTGTTTTGAAAATGGAGATAATACGAACTTGATAATCATGATAGGGACGAAATACGGTTTTTCACTTTGGAGGCAATCCAAAAATCCCGCTATTTTTGATTCGGGGGATATTTCGCACTTTAAAAAAAATTTATACTATAAAATAATAAGATATTAAACTAATATAGCATTATTCCAAAAAAAATTTAATTAATCCTATTGCTACCAATTATTCAGTAATTAATAACATTTACAAAAAAAGGCAATGTTTATTAATTTCTCTAAAATTTTTAAACCTGATTTTCATCTAATTTGGCATAAGAGGAGCCAGAGAAAGTGTTACCAAACAGATCCTTTAAAATTGGTATAGGAGTGAACCTGCTTAGACTGAGTACTAAGCAAAGCTCGCCCAAATCTAGGAGATAAGAATTCCTTTCTTCTAGCTGTTTGGAGGAGAGTTGACAGACAGGAACATAGCTACAGTATTTTGACATTTCGTTGCTCGATTCCTTATTTATAAATAACAAATATGAGGTCACTGCCAAAGAAATTGGAGAAAAAAAGGGGTGTATAAAACCGTATATTTGAGCAATATGAATAATTAACAAGCTTTTGACAACATCACATGTTACCTCTGTATTTCTAAAAATTCGGCTATTAATCTTATTCTCTCTCTGTAAAAAAAACTTTAAGAGATATTTTTTTTAATAGTGAGGACATATTTTTTTCTACACGATAAAAGTAAATGTGAAATAAATAAAAATCGAACATCATTATACTTTAATATCATCTGAAGCTAGGTAGTTAACGGAAAACAACGATGGATAAATTTCGTTCAGTAAAGTTTCTATGGGTTTAGATTGAATGGAATATAAAGCGAAGGCTCTTTCGTCTAAATCCTTGTTGCTGCTGGAAGTGAGTCTAAATGCGGTCTGAGGAAAAAAAAATCCATAAGATGGATAAAATCAAAAGAACACTCTTCGATAAAGATTGAGCCTATTAAGCATGTATAGTAAAGGATTGATGCGGGCTAAGATCCGGCACCTACATCCCCTAGGTCAATGAGGATATTACCTCCTCTACTCCCTCAATAGCGAAAGTATATTTAAATTAAAATATCAACTTTACATTTACATACACTCCCCCCCCCTCCTTCATATCTTTTTATTCTAATGATGAGCGTCTTCATAGTACCCCCTTAAATTTCAATGACGATTTTGCGTCATACCCCCATTCCCGCATAGAAGAAATGTCTGACTAAGGTTAGATTAATATATGAGCCGTGATTAGTGACAGTTATATGAGTCTGTTTATTTTACCCATTTTATTTTTGTATAGACTAGGCAAAAAATACCTTATAAATATTTCGAACTAAATGAAAATGATTCTAATAAAATTAGAAGGAAAAGAAGTTTTTGGTCAATATCTCTTGGATGAAAAGTTGTCCATATGACAAAAGAATAATAATCTATCTTATGATTAAATTTGGAATATTTAGTTCTAAGGGGTTAATACTTTTCATTCCTTACCTTGTTAACCACTTTGCATCAGTCTACTCCCCTAAAAATTTTATTGCGTAATTTTTTGATTGACGTTGCGCTTAGATATCAAACTTTAATAAATATTTACAAATATTTTTACGTGTTTTAATAATGCGTGGATTCTAGCTACTAAAAGGGAACAATTATCTGGGCACAAAAGGTTAGAATAAGTGACGGATATATATGCATGAGTGTTAAAGGCCGATAAAAAGTCCTGAACAGCTGTAATCATCGCTTCTCTGGAAGAATGGAGGTTGGTGGATAAACATCTATCGCTGGCTAATATAAAAATAAGAGAATAAGAAAATAACGAAAATAAATAATAAGAAATAAGAAATATATTTTTTTACCCATAATAGCTATTAGTGACACCACAACTTCTTGATCAACCGAGTTAATGACGTCGTCAAAATTATTGGTTACTGGAAGAGCTAAGGTCAAGACTCTTATACGTCTTTCGCCTATCAAACAAAAACAATTTTAATCTATTTCCTTTGAATATACTGGAGTTTTATAATCACAATTGCTATTCTGTTACATAGCCTGCCAAATTTGACAAGTCACGCGACATTAAGAGGTTGCCTAATAGATAGCAGATGCAAATTTTAATATGTACGAATGTTTATTATATTTTTTATTTTATTATATTTCTTTAAAGTAGATAATAATTTTATATTAATTTAAATTAATACCCCCTCTCAATATAATATTTATTATATATTTAGAAATTGAAATTAGAATTATTTAACTTATGGTCCGATAATTTAACAAATTTACATAGCCCTAAGTTAACTAACATCCAATTATCCAACCAAATAGAGCTCCACCTCAAATCAAAATCATTTTATAAAAATAATTTAAATAAATGAAATAACAGACCAAAAATAGTTTCTTCTTTAATAAGAAAAAATCAAGTGTAAATGTTAAAGGAATTTTTAAACATTTAAAGAATCAAATTTTTTAGAAAGAAATGATTACTGTAATGAAAAATTTGTATTTTGTAGACCATATTTCCATAAAGATTGAAGTAATTTTTTTGGACCACATTAGCGGTAAGATTTGACTACAGCAAAGACACGGGTTAGTGTAAAGATGAGAGTAATGTTGTTTTAGACAGCTATTTTAATAACCGGCTAACTCAACAATTTAGCCCGAAAATATGATCTAAATTTGAGATTTCGTTAATAAATGTTCAAATCTGTGTGCCATCTGACCAAAATATTCAGGCTTGGGTAATATTTTTCTGGATAAAATATTGAGTTTGCCGTTATTAAAAATCGATATTGGAGTTTTGGCAAAATAGGACGATTTACATACCGTTAAAGATCACGTAACCTATCAAATCTATGTGATATTCACATGTATATTTGAATTTTATTATTATTTAAATTCCAAATTATTCTTAATTATCGTCTGGTAAACCAAACTATGAATGGTATAATATTTATTATTAATACATTAAAAATTTTAAAAAAAATTACATTTAATTTCCAACATGAACCACCTTATTGGTCTAAATGAAATCTTTTTAAGTGACATTTTAAATCAAATTAACCAAGATAGTATATATTTTAATTTTAAATTGCTTTGTATACAAATTTAACTTAGATGAACATAGACAAAATATTTAAAATGATAAAAGATATTCCAACTATTTTTTTTATAATATTTTTAATATATTCATAATATTAGAAGAAGCCAATATATTTACTGGAACTAGTGCTAATTTTTATAAATCTAGACCATAAAATTATCAAAATGATTCTTTATTAAATACCAAATTTTAAACTCGAATACTTTTATTGAAATAAATATTTGTTTCCTCAAATATTATTAATTCAAGAAAGATAAAAATTTCCTAAAATGATAGAAAAAATATAATTTTTTAAACAAAAAACTAACCCTTGGAAACCGTGTAAAGAATAGCGACCTGTACCCCTACCATGCTACTATCCACCAAGTCTTCATCTATATCGCATTGAACGCTGAAGCTGGTATCGGATTTGACATTCGGTAGGCAAAGCAAGTTTGAAGAACGCAGAAAAAAATTTCCGAAAAAACCTTTCAACGCCAGACCTTGATTGATCATTTTTATAATTGAAAAGAAAGTATTTTTTGGTGCGGAAGAGCGGAAGAAAGGGTAAGTTTAAATAAATAAGTTATATATTTTTTTTGAGAAAATCACAATTTAACTATATTGATTTGGAATATAATCAAAGCAATTGCGAAGAAAAAAAACAACTTTTTGGGGCAACATCCATTTATTGCGTTAAAGATATATTTGGGCTATCTATATAATCTTTAAAAGTAAATAAATGAAACCTTTGGTAGCTCTAACTCTCATTACGGCTTCGAATCCAATGTCCCTTGTTAGGTATCTTTTAAGGCATTGAGTAAATCGTTCGGCTTGGAGCTGGTTATTTTGACTGTGATAGGAAGGGAAATGGTACATTGAACCGGCACTATATTTGGAGAGGGTCGCTAAAAAAAATGCATGAATCAATGAGTAGAATTGAAAGAATGGGAATTTCATGCCATTCGAAAACTACATTAGTGTTAAATGTGCCCGATTTAGCCTATTTTTAAAATGGCTGCCAATTTTTTAAAACGGCTAACTCACGATTTTAACCAAAAGTAAATTACCCAAGCTCAGAGATTTTTCCTACAGAAGGTGGAAAGGTTTGGAATATCATCAAAATGTGGAGATTACTAATATATTTTTAATAAAAAAAAATCGAATCTAACCTAAAGAGGCTAGGTCTATGTGGACCTGGTTAAGGAAAAATATGTCGGCGCTAATTTGATCGTTGCTTAGCTCGAGGGCCGTCTTTTTGTAAAAATCTGTTTTGGCTCCCAAGGTTAAACTGTTTGAATTCTGGAGTAAATAAATAAAATATCGCCAAAAAAAAATTATGATTAAATTTTAGTTGAACAAATGATATTTTTTTCCTCTTTTCTTCATATTTTATCTCGTCTCAAAAGAAGAGATATTAATAAAATTATATTAACTCGTTTCTCATCTCCGCAATTAAGTTGAGCCAGTTTCCCTTCTCCCGTATCAGGAATACTGTTTAATAGTATCGAAATTCTACCGCCAGTGTGACTTATGAGCTTTTGACATATTTGCAAGGCCGGTCCTAGACAATTACCATCGTTGAGGTCCATCATTTTAACTTCGGATTATGTTTTTTTTAAATGTGAGATGTGGGTTTTTAAAAAAATCCAAATAAAGAAATTAGGATTCTTTATGGTTGTTGGTCCCTATCAATCAAAAATTCTTTAAAAGGAAATATAATAGCGATTTTAATTAAAAATATTTCTATCTCCACCATTTTATGTATCGATATTGAAAAAAATCGATACTTTTGATGGTTTAATTCTCTAAATTCGATTTTCCAGCATTGTATGCGTTATTTTAAAGTATCGGTATAAATTCAAATGGGTCCGTTGATACCGATAAAATATTTTCCCCAAATGTATTTGATTCATTTTTGAATATAGTTTATTACTAATTAACAAATACATCTAAATAAATAGCCGTATGCATTATATGAAATATTTAAGAATTAACATCCCAAATATTATTCTTTGATTTTAGAAATAAAACATTTTTAAAGTTTTTACTAATGAGACATCCCTATCCTATTAAATGCATTTTCGAAACTTGATAAGAGCTTAATTTGGGCTGAAAGAAATGGTAGTGTTGTGTTTAATAATTAATTATTTAATAATTAAAAAAATTATTTAAAAATGGCGAAATTATTCTTTGCGCAAAAAAATGTCAAGATAATGTTATTTAAATATAAGAAAAAAATGTAAAATAACTGTTAGTCGGTGCTAAAGGTAGTGTTGAACTAATGTATTTTATATGTTTTTTTCCTTCAATCACCACAGCGAATGTTTATTTTAAAATGATAATTTTTTTTAACTCAAAAACGAATTTAATAATCAACAATAATATCATGAAATCGTAAAATAATTTATAATCAATTTTGATTTGGTAGTAAATAATACTTGTAATCAGGTTGTCATATATTTAAAGATACTACGATTTGTAATTTTTAATAATATGCCTTGATAGACAATAGTATGTATGTCTTACATTATTTCTATGATAAATATATTTTTTTAAAGATGTATCAAAAGGGAAGCAATAAAGATTTCATGTAATCACAGTTACAAATTGTTGCTAGTCTTCGCGAGTATCATTTAGCGGGCAAATAACAATGAACAAGAGAAATATTACCAAAGACGAAGTAAAAGATGCAAAGATGCTATTGAAGTCTGTGTTGTATGCTAGGTGTTCCAGAAAATAAATCTAAACTATTTGATCGTCCTTATATATTATTATTACAAATGCCAGTATTAACTCACATATTACAAACCAAACTAACTTATTTCATATACATAAAAGTAATGCCTTTCGAAATTATTTAAAATAATTAATAAATTTAACTATTGGATAATCATACTAGTGAAGGATCTAGTAACAATTTGTTTTATTTGGAATGGCGACAAATAGTTGTGTAAATGAAAACCAATGTACTTTGGTTATATTAAATCTTTCTTGCTTCCCTGTTGACATATTTTTTTAAAAAATTAGAAAAGCTAACCGCTAACAATAATCAGCTATTTTACAATTTATCTTAAATAAATAATAACTTAAAAATTATTTGATAAAAATAATTTAAATATAAAACATAATATTAATGGAAAATTTTACCATAAAGAGTTCAAGATTTCGCAATTTTTAATTATTTATTGACTGCAATAAAAACTTGAAAATGTTTTATTGTTAAAAAATAATATTTGGTATTTATGTTTTTTGTTAATTCGTAAATATTTTATATAAAAAGTAATTGCTTTATTTAAAAAATATATATGGGTTTTTTATATATTAATAAATTATTTCCAAAAATGTTAGAAAAAGTACCGATAATTTTATATATCGAGAAAAATGTATTAGTATTTTGGAATTTGTATCGGTTTCGATACTTTCTGATAACTTTCCAAAATAAAGTCAACAAGTCTAGACAATAGTTTTGGGATAAAGCTTCTAAAAATTTTTTAGTATATTTTGTACATGCATGATCACTTGATATTTGTATATCGTATAGGGATTCGGAATCTCTTGATTTTATATCCTTTACCGAGGGCAACCTAAAAAAAATTAAGATCCGATTTAACCGAAAATGTATTCTAGCATGTGTAGAGTATTTACCCTATAAATTTTAGCCATATACATTTTAGTATATTTTAATTTACATGAAAAATCTATATAAAAATTAATGTAAATTAGGAGTAGTTCTAAAGCATGGCAAAATTGGCTGAAATTTGTAGGGTAAATATAAATACTCTACACATGCTAGAATACATTTCCGATCAAAACGGATATTAAAATTTTTAAATCACCCTCGGTAAAGGATTTAAAATCAAGAGATTCCGAATCCCCATACGACATATATCATGTGTTTGTTTACCTGTGGAAGGGTTGATAGATTTTTCGATATTAGTTGTAGTTTCCGTGTTCGTTTGACTATTTTCTTCGTCGATTTTAGTGAATGGGTCTTTTAGAGGAAAACACCAAAGTTCTGGTAATTGATGGTTTAGAAAATAACGTATGGCCTTTAAACGATAGTAAAATAATTTCAAAATATGCGATGCTTAATTTGTGGATAAAGAATATACGTTCGCTCTGCATTGAGCAATATTTTTTTAAATTAATGAGTTCCCTTTAGAGGCGACTTTTAGGCAGAACTTTTTTTCAAAGCTATACTTCTAAACTACACGTATCTTAGTGTGCATGACTAAATGTATTCATTATGCTATATCTCTTTTTAAAAAAAGAAGATAAATTTATATTGTACAAAATTTAACCCTGATTTAACAGCTATTTTTACTCACTTATTTAAAACTGATATTTTCTGTTATATTCTGAATAAAAAAATTGAAGATATATTAATTTTGAATTGTAGAGATTAAAGTTTTAATTAAGAATGGATGATGAGTGGTAATTTTTATAGCAAATCCTTGATACCGAGTAGAATATTTAGCTAATTATTTTAATTGAAGACCGAGTCAGTACAGCTAATCGGAGAACCCAAATGAGTTAGATTTTTCAGATCTACTACTTTAAAAGAGGGATCGTGTGATTCTAAAAAGATATAGGTAATTTCGCACTCCTAAAGATTAAGGAATAACCTGTTTCAGCAGACGGGTCTTCGATAATTTTAGGCGTATTCTATTATATGCAAGGTGCCTTAGGCAGTTGGTACTCTATGTCCATACCTTTGCCAAACAGTGTGGTAATTTTCGCTAGGATATTAATATATTTTTTTGTATGGGATCAGATTAAACCAATTTTACGTCCTTTTTTGAAATATCCGTGTTTTGGACAATATTATTAAATTCAATAAAATGGAGTCTTAATTTCACTTTGAGGAAATCGCTTATCTTTTTTTTTCATAAATAGTCCTGGCCCAGACCGAGTTGCAGATCTCTTTTCAGTACACTTCTAATTTTGTGTGGTAGCATATGCAAGTCATCTCCACTTCACTTAGAATATGCATTTCCAATCCTGCATAATCTGCATCCCGATCCCCCTCCAGGATCTATTTTATTTTAGATTTGTATTTTAAAGCACCAGTAAAGAAGAGTCTTATTAAAAGATTTTATTATAATTAAATTTCGTCTTTAGGAAACATTGTTATATCAATGATTTAATTCCCTTATAAATAGTTTTACCTGAGATATTAACAACTGTATTGATATAAGTATTGGTATCGTCTTCCAAGACATTATTTTTGCGAACACATCTTTCTTTTGAAGAATATATTTTTGGTAACAAATTTAATCAAGATCAATGTTATTCAAACTATTAAAAGAAATTTTCTACCTAGTTTGTTGTATTGTTTAATGTAATAATTTTTTGGAATAGCATACATTTTTGGTAGATTTTAATTTAGTTTTGATTTTAAGAAAATCTGGGATATAAAAATAATCTCGACAAAACATTTTTTTTTATAAAAAATAAAGAAATCAGCTAGTTAAATTTTACTGCCCAGAAATTTGCTCTATAAACGTTTAAGTTTATACGTTACATTTTAATATGTTTATATATTTTTTTTTATAGCTCATGTTAACTTTTTATAGTAAAACCTCCTAACTCCTGTATAGCTAAAAAAAATTATCTCTGCTCTCTATCTCATAATGTTTCGTTATAGACCTCAATTCTTTTTTTGCAATTATATAATAGCGTCTTATTTTACTCTTTTTGTTTAAAAAATAATCTCTTTAATATTTTTGACTATTTGAAGGAACTTGAAGAACGACAATGTAATTATATTTTTCTATTCTTATAGGATACCAAATGGGTAACATTCATATTTATAAATTATTTTATTCTTTATAAATTGATGGATAAAATAAAAACTAGTGTCCTAAAATGTGTTTTCTAAGCTAACGTTTTTAATTATCAATTTCGCCAAGAATATTGGAATTTAACAGATTTTTTAAATTATACAATACATTATTTGTGATAGAATAAAAAATTTTTAAAATAATTTTTTTTTTGCTATACAAGTAATATCCAATGAAAGTTAACAATATTGTGTATAGTTTTAGAAAATAAAAATAGAGATATAGTTATAGTTAATCCTCGCTATAGTTAACTAAATTTTATGTCTCTGAGGTTAAAATATAAAGAGGTTTTATTGCATATAAATAAATATATATTTTAAAAAAAAGTATCATTAAATTTGGATAATTGGAAAAATATTTTTTTCAGGAAAGCAAATGTTTTTAAATATAATAAAATAAGTGCTTATTCTATTTAGCTTTGCCTCAAGGGTAATATTCTTTCAGGGAAATTTTTTTATCCATTTGAATTAATTCAAAAAAAATCATAATGAATAAAATATAACATTTAACTTTTTTGAATTCTTGTAAATTCACTAGCAAATTTTCGTCGTCTGGTAAGAAAGGCTCTGATTTATTTTGTTTTTTTTTTAAAAAATAGGTATGAAAAAAAATATATAAATTATGAAAATTTATCAAATATGATTTTTTTTTCAAATTAAAATAATTTCAGACAATTCTTTAAAATATTAAATGGATTGATTAATAGTGTGACAATTGAGCGTTTCATCGCTGTGCTGCAAAAAAAAGCATTTCAAATGGTATCGCATAAATTGGTCCAATTACCACTTGGCGTTAGAAACCATTTTTAAAAAAGAAAAAAAAAAGAAAACTGGTTTGCTTTTTTCCATACTTTATTTTTTTTAATTATTCATTTTGCAGACGAGACCGTTTCTATTGGCTTAAAATACTTAATGCGTTAATATTTTTATTTTTATATCGCTCATGGTAGGAAACGTCCTTTGAAGCAAAAAAATAAACTATCAATGAAAAGAGATATTATAGAAAATCAGTAAAGGTATCTCAATATTTTGGGGAATTCAGAATATCACTTAATGTTTCACCTCCAATATTAGTTAGTCATTTCAGAAATGTTTAACGTTTTTAAGTGATTAGGATAAAATAACGCAAAATTGATCTTGAGATAACACATTTCTGTATACAATTTAAATATCATAGCATTATTTCATTACTGGAATAATTGTTATATTTAAAGATTTTGTAATGAATTAAATTCTCTCCTAATTAATCTAGCGTTGTGCTAGAATCCCTCCATTTTAAAAAGGAAGCAAGATTTTCGTAAAATACGAATTTAATATAATGTACAATTTACCATTCTTAAATTTCCCTCATGATTGATTTCTTGTGCATAAGCACATTCAAAATATCTTGAAAATCCACCAGGTTAAAAATATATGAATAAACATACTCATAGTCCAAATATAAGTTGCAGGTATAGATGCCGGTAAAAAATTTTCTATATATCCATTAATTTCCCCTAAAACTTATGGAATTAATGAGATTTGAAGATATTTATGAAACTAATGAAATGTTGTAGTTAGTGTAGTGCCATTTCAAAGAAATAATGCTGCATTATATTTAAAATTGTATATGCCACGTATTTATAAAGAATAACCTTCAATGTCGGGACAGATCAAGACATCTGCGAATAAGGAGGTGGGATCGAATCTGTAAAAATGGATCCTTTTGTCAAACGTGACAAATCCAAGTAGGGTTCTGCTATCCCCTGGTAAATCGTCTAAACAGGATTCCAGGACTTGACAAAAGTGCCGTAAATAATCTGCATAATAATTTTTTTTTAAAAACAAAGATAGAAAGAAATAAATAAGAAATAAAAGTTTTTTTGTATACCTAAGATCAAAGTTTGTTTATATTTTAAAAAAAACTCCAATTTGGGATATAAAAAACGAAAACAAGCAGAAATGTAATAGTAAATATGATATTTTTCACAAATATTTTGAGTTACATGTGTTACCCGGGAATGTGTAATACTTATTGAATTGCTTGATTTATAGGATAGATATTTTACACATGCTGGAATACGTTTCCGGCAAAATAAAATTTTTCGTATTTAAAAAAACGTGATATAAATGGTTTAAAGTTAGAAAATAATCTGCTGAGCGCGTTTTATTAACTTGAAGATCTGATTTTTCCGAAAATGTATCCCAGTATGTGTGTAAAATACCTATTTTATAAATTTCAAAAGATTTGGTCATTAACTTGTATTGATTGAAATATTAATTAAACAATATACATACACATTGATGATAACATTATATATATATATATACACCTATTATTATAGAAGCACAGATAGTTGGTTTTAAGGTAAAACTTTGATTGGAAGCTTATTCCTTATTATCATAAGTTTAGTTTTTAAACATCAAATCATTTTAGAGAATTTAAACTATTGTGAATAACTGATATTTGTTTTGATTTTTTAAAAAAATTATTATACCAGTGCGTGATGCTTGTATAGTGACTTCCAACAAAAATAGATAAACGGCTGGCTGAGGAGGCCGTATCTGAATAAAATAATATTTTTTTTAAAACCAAAAATATAAAATGTATAATTTAGGCGGGCCCATACTAATAAATTTATATATTATAATCTTAAATGATAAACTAATGGGGGAAAAAACAAATATCAAATATGATATGGTTAATAAATTATTAAAACCATGTAATCGGATGAGGCCACAAATTCGACGGCCGCGTTTTGGAGCTCGGCCCTTTGATAGGGTTGAAGATATGCCTTGGTGCTAGCATCGTAGTAGTACTCCTCCGGAACTGAAAGTATAATAAGAAACATGTTTAAGAATTCGCGTGAACGAATACGATTATAAATATTCCGTAATGGTAAGATAGGGTGGATGGAGGGGGGAGGTAATCAAAGCCATATTTTGGTTATATATCATTTATATTAAGATTTGACCTAGTAAAATACTTATTAAGATACCCAATCATTATCGAAATATAACTCTTTTGAAGATTGTAAAAAGTTAATAAAAAATGTTTATAAGAGTTTTCGTAATTCTTTTCACATAAAAAAAACCCCCCGAGGCTTAGGTGATAATTTTTGATTAAAAAAAATTAAGTTTGTATCCGGCTAAAAATAAAGAAATTACCAAACTATAGTTGGAATAGATGAAAATCAAAATACAAATATAATAATAAAAGTACAAAGTAGCACATCATTTTTATAAGGGATCAATGTTCGCCTAGCGATCTATAGGGCCTTGTTAATAAAATCGGAGTCGAATCGTTGAATCTTGTGACAGACACATAGGGTAATATTTTTTTTATTATACTTACATTTTCTGAAGCATAAATTTAAATTATTTTTAACCTCTTTTTGAAAAGTCCTTTCTTAAAATCAGGAAAAGGAACATTAATTATATATTTTAAAAAAATACTATTTAATTAGAATCTCAGTGAGGTTTCTATTTGTAAACTTTGGGTGTTTGGTGATTCTATACATGTCTGGTACTGATTCTTGTAGGACATGAAATTCATTTTTCAACAGCTAGGTTTCCAATGTTATTACATCGGTATCTATGGTGTATAGACCTTTGGGCGTTTAGATTGAGTATCATGCTTTATAAAATATCCTGTTAAGTTTTTTATGCCTATAAAGTCCTTATAGAATCATGGGCGAACATTGATGGCGAACAGAAAAATTAACATGCAATATTTATTGTTATATTCAGTCATTATACTATTTAAAAATTATTCCATATCATAATAAAATTATGTTAACAAAAAAAATGTGAAAAAATTTTTTATTTTAAAGGCTAAATCCTAAGGTTCAATTTTGTAAGGCTATTTTTGTCGCGCGACTTCAAGATGAATATCAAATGAAATTATTTTAATATTGCAAACCGTTAGGTGTAATGGTTTAGTACTATTCAGGGTTCATTTTTTTTAATAATCTCGGTTTGTTACAATTTACATCATCCTGATTTGTTAAAGTATCTAAATACAAAAATATGGTATCTGAAACCAATATTTTTATAAAAAGTATCGGTATCTTAATTTCATTAAAAAACAAACCAGACAAATTTTATTTTAAGCACTGGGTGACTACAATGCATTTTTAGACCAATATTTCTTCAATAAAATTTTAACCTCACTATTTGAATTTTAACAATAGAATCCAAAAAGCATTATGCATGCCTTAAATAAGATAATAAAAAATTGTATTTGGATATTTTTTAGATGATGTATCTGTATCTAGATCCATTTTTAGACAATGTACCAGTGACTAGATCTATTTGAAAAGTATATTTTAACAACTCTGATAACTTCATAGCGGTTCTGGTTTTTTGTGCATTTTAAAAATAATCATTTACTTTAATTTGACTCCAAATATATCAAAAATAAAAACTTTAAAAAAATATATAAGCCTAACAAAAATTAAAGAAAATAAGTTGATACTTGGCGTTAGATACCATCTTTAAAAAACGCAAACTAATTTGCTTTTTTCAATTACTTTTTTTATTCATACAATTTTCACGTTGGTCTACGACCCGTTCTTTTAAATCTCGGGGTTTTTCGCACAAAAGGCTGATAAAACCTTGTTACCCAAATAAGAATAAGTGGAAGAGGGGTGGGGCACCAAAATCCCTTCCTAGTTGTTTAATTATTTGTAAATTCAATTTTATATTATATAAAATGTAAAAAAAATAATTTCTCCTTCAAAATAAAATATTTCGAAATTAATGAAATAAAAAGAAAAATCAATTCTTCTTCATAATTTAGTTAAAATTTTGAACCGATGATATTCAAAAATAAAAATTCAATTTAAACAGGAGATATGAACGTTTCATGGCAAAAGGCAAACGCTCAATTTAAGGGCACTATTAGAACGAAATAATGAAATATATATCAAAATAAATATATTTCAAATCATGCTAATCATTTTTAAAAAAATTAATATAATCTAAAAAACCCGATTATGAAACAGCTTAAACCGGTTGGAACATCTTTTAACGGTTCGTTCCCTCTTTGGAAACTTTATAGTAACTGTTTGATTATGTTCCAAATACATCGTTCATTTCGATTTCGCAGTTCGGTTCGGTACCTTGAGGATGACCTGTGTTATACCGCGCGACAAAATATCGCTCAATCACAAGATATGGCTTAAAAATAAAGTTATATTTTATTAACTTGATTATTTTACAATTAGTAAAATATTTCGCCCTACAATTAACTTATAGAATTATTATCAAAAAAAAAATCCCAAAAGGTAAGATGTGTTAGAATTTCCTTTTATTAGAATCTTATTTTTTTTTTAAAAAAATAATAACGGGTGGTCGATAAATTCTTTCGGGTGAGTGGGTCTAAATTTTTTGTAACGGTGGCTATTAGTTCAAAAAAATTTAAGCAAGTGAACTGACAGGTACAACATTTTTCAACTATTGGTTTGGAGGGATAGTTTTTCGTAAATTAGTGGGTTTGCAGGCTAAACCCCGCTAATTGTATATTTCAAGTTAGAATAATATGCGAACGGGTAGGATACCCAAGCCCCCCCCCCCTAATATACTTGGTTACAATCAAAAATAGTTATTTATATTAGGTAACGTTCGTTGGTTCTGTAGCAAACGTTGCATTTCCAGTGCCTGGTGTCGAGGAGAATGACGAAAGGATTAATGTAAGTTCTACAAACTTTGCACCTGGCCATGACTTGATCCGTTACAAGCGGAATTTCCTTAATAAAAATATATATATTATAATCGGTGTGATCGAAATTTATATTTTAAAAATATATTTTTTCCTCTTCCTATGTTTTCCACTTCTGGTTCTCAAGGCCAATCCAAAAATCGTCGCTTCTCTTAGGTGTCAAAAAACTTAAGTACCCTTTTGGACTAAAAGGCGATTGCTGATCGCTAACAAGATTCATCTATTTTCAGTCTTCTATTTCGTACACATTTAACAATTCAACAGATACTTTTTCGGTTTTGTGTTAGATAAAACCAGATATTCCCGTAGACACTGGATTTTCGCCTTGTACATTATAAAATATCATTCTAGACCCTTTGTGGAAAATAAATACCTGGGGCTGAGTATTGCCTACATTTAGGATAGCTTATTATCATATTCCATCGAGATTACAATACACTTAAATACATAATTTTAAAAAAAGTGGTGGAAGTCATTTATACAATTTCAGGTTATTTAATAAGACAATCACATTATATGAAATGGTAGCTTTGTGAACAATTATATTGAAATTAGTTTTTTTTTAAATATGAAAAATGGAATTGATTTTATGTTAGGGTTCAGGTGATATCAGGAAAATACTTTCTTCCAATCAAGTTGGGTGGCAAAAACAAATTATCTATTGAACATTGCTAATCCCGTGGATAAATAATTATGCCTTTTTTGTACTATAAAAATTGACATTTCCAACAAGGAATAACTTAGGCTGATCCATTATTCAAACGTGCTCCTTTTTCAACATAACACCCCCCACCCCTCTTCCTTTCATTTAGAAGTAAAGTTAATGAGATTTATTATGCTAAAATGCAAAAAAAATAGAACCTGTTTATCATTGAATGGATGTATCATAATCCCAAATGGCAATCTAATTTTATCCAGTAAGGAATGGGTTTGAGGAACTGAGTTCAACGAACATCTCATGTATCTGGAAAAAAAGAGTTAAATTTAGATTAAATTGATTTTTTTAAAAAAAAATAAGATGAATGTACAAATAAATTACTCTGTGGGACAACTAAAAGGTTCCAAATTTTCGGGTATTGAAGGTGAGGGAGCTTTTTCGGCCTCGTAAGGAAATATTTGGGAATTTTGAAACAAATTAACAGGTCTATTGTATCCATATTTCTTTTTTAAAAAAAATTATGAAATAAGGATAAATAAATATTTGAAAAATAGCAGTGGCACCAAATAACACTTTTTTGATGACATCAATATCAATATGATATCGCCCGATACCAAGTTTTTATATAAATGAAATGAAATCTCTTACAAAAAAAACAAGTTTATTTGAGAATTTGAAGATAAAAATATATAAACTTTTTCCCCAATCCATATTTCCACCTAATATTTTTGATTTTTAGCTTTAAGCTATAAAGCTGTGAACTAGTTCAGCTTAATTTGGATACTTAATTGCTTTTAGGCTAAAAAGTTTTTGAATGAAAACACCTTATTTTGATTTGTGTTTTAAGTATATTCTCGTTTTTTTGTTATATTTTTTTAAAATAAAACCAGCTACTTAGCATTACATAGACCTAGGATATAGCCTTGTTAGTCTCATAATTATATGTCCTTGATAATACAACAAAATTTTTAAAGTAAGAAGTGGGCAAAAGAATTAAAACCCCTTTTGTATTGACGCATCTCTGAAAAATAGTAATAAGTAAATTTGTATTCATTACATCTTAGTTGGTAGCACAAACCAATATATAGGTGTGCTTTAAATATATTTAATTTACAAGAAAATATTTGCTTCTAATCTAAAGTTAAATTATCATTTTTTTAAGAATCTAATTTATAAGAAAATATTTTTTGCTCTTCATTTTTTTTTAAAAAAAATTAAAGATTTTAATTCTTCAGAAAATAGCATCATTTTTTGCATTAGAATGCATTATTTAAATATACTAGTATTTCATGCAATATCCAAAAATCATTGATGAAAATTGCAGAAAGTATTATATCAGAGCTTACATAGATACCTTGACTCATGCAAAGATAAGTATTGTTCAAATATTAATGTAGGATCAGTATAAAATTATTTTATATGATAAATCTCTTTATCCTTCTTTTGGGTAACTCTTTATGTCATAAAATGTAAGTTTCTTGATTCAACAAGCCTTTCTTAGAAATTCAAGACTTTTTCCCTATTATATTAAAATGATTATATATTTTGATCACTATATTCATTAGCATTGCACACATGAAAAAACATTTTTTATTCTTCAGGAATAAGAAATTTCTAGGAAGTGGAAGTACTCCACCTCATAAAAGGATTAAATAAGTTGGAACATGGGAATTTGACACCAAATCTTGATCAAGTCATTGAAAAATTAGCTCTTGACACCAAATACTGATTAAATCATTAAATAAATTAGCTCAATCACAAAGGAGATTGCACTTTTTTTTGTGCATTAATTAATCTATTTCAACATTTTAGTTTTTATAAATATAGAACTATTTTTCCACATTCGATAATTCTCTTAAATTTATATATATTATAATGCTCAAATGGATTTTTCATAGATAATTGTAGCTGATTCCAAAAATGCTGAAACCTGTATATTATTTAGCTATTAGATATTTTGTTAATTTTTTATTGGTCTTACTAAATTTTAGGTGTTTAATAAAAATTCCAAGTAAAGATCTGCAAAGCCTGGCCAGTCCGGAATTTTAATAAATTAAAACAGGCTGGGTGGGGCCAGGCAAAAATTATAATTAGCTGGGCAAGTCATACATAAAAATTTCGGAGAAGTTGGGGAATTTGATAAAAAAAATTTGGTCAGGTTGGTTTGATAACATTTTTATACATATTTTCTAATTATATAAGATTTCTTTATAATGAAAAAAAGTTAGTAAGATTAAAAATCATATTCAATTTAAACAGATTATTTTAAATTTCAACTTCTACCCCCTCCCCTTTATCTTTTATTAAAATATATTTTAAAAAGTTAAGAATGCTTTTATTTATTTTATAGTAATAAATATTTCTTTTCTTATTAAATATATTATATGTTATGATGAATGATGAATGATGAATGAAGGATGGATTGATAAAGAATAAAATATAATATTCTATATTTTTATAATTTTTATTAATAAAAATAATTTAATAAAATTTTATTCCCTAAATAAAATTATAAACTGAGATGACCTTTTCGTAAAATTTTTATGGCAGTGAAGATTTCTTGATATATTTTTCTTAGCTTAATTCTATGAAAAAATATTACAAATTAAAAATCTGATAGCCAGAAAATTTGCAGAAAAATTACAGACTTTGCTGTGTTTAGTAAATTTTTAACAATCAAGGATGGGTCTTATTTTTCATAAATTTTGGGCCAAGACTGGACTTTGATCAATATTTTTTAGAAATTTTTGGGATAGGTCAGGCAAATTTTTTTTTAAATTTCATGCAGGGCTGAAAAAAATTTAGTGGGCCAGGTAAGGCAACTTATGTGAAAATTGTTAACAGGCCAAAATGTGCTAGGACAGGCCTTGCAGACCTCCGATTCCAAGATAAATTTTACATTTTTTCAGAGTTTGTCCTCTTCCAAAGTAAATTTTGGCGACATATGCCTGATATAGAAAATCATTTTCTGACTAATTCCATTTAGCTCAGCCTTCTGAATTCTTATTTTTTAAAAAAATAATTCCTTTTTTTAATTGTGATATTCAAGATAGAAAGAAAGAATAAATAAAATCTATTTTTTTTAAACTACAGGCTAGGAGGCTAAAGGTTTTATTTGTGATATTACATCTTATTATAGTTCACTCAATATAGCCCTGGTGGACTATAAGTAATATTTTTAAGATTTCAATAAATATACCAGGCCCTTAATACTTTTATCTGGAAATCAGAATATAAAAAAAATTTCCCTAATTAATGGGAGCCAGTGCAGTATTCAATAAATATTTTTTACTGAATTTTTATTTGGAAGCATTGTATTTATAGATGACTGTTGATATGAATTTTCTAAATGATTATATTGATTTAAATTTTGATAGTTAGCTGAATGTTGTGTTTGAGCTTGTACATAGTTCTGATTATATTCTGCATTACTTAAGGGCATATTGCTGAATTGATTGTGAGAATAGTTATTATCATATATATTATTTGTACAATTATTTTGGAGAGATAAGTTTTTAAAAGAATTGTATACTGGCTCAGTCTGGCAATTATTACCATTAAGATACTTGCTGTTTACAGTCGTGGAATAATTATATGAAATATTATTTTGTAAAACAGTATTAGTAGTATAAACTGGTGTAGGTAAGTGATTATATTCATTTCTAGCATAGTTATTGTTGGGATTAACAAAAGGTTGATAACTTTGTGAAGAATTAGAAAAATTTTGATAATTAGAGTTGTTATTTAAAGGGATATTTTGATAATTATTTAAATCAGTATTATATAAAGTATTTTGATTGGGAAAGTTACTATCACCCAATATTGGAGAATTAACAGACTGGTATTTATCTTTAACATTGATTATTTCAGGTGATTGATTGTGTGTGAATTGATTATAGGAAGGATACAATCCATTAAGTGTATCATATTTTGGGTATTGGCTAATATTTAAATCATTCTGACTAGAACTAACAATCAAATCGCTTGAATTCATGCCTGGATTGGTCTATAAAATAATTTTATGATAGTATTTGGACTTATAATAGTGTTAAATATATAAAATAGTAAAATAAATTGTATTGCATATTATATCTTATTTGATTGCAAACATTTTTAGTTGGATTTTCATTTAACGTCGTTGCTAACGAAACAACTGGCATTTGCTATTTTTATTAATACATTAGATATTGATCCGTGTCGAAAATGCCAACATCAAAATATAAAAAATATATACAAATTGTAAGCTCAATTTACACATTCAATTCATTTTTATAAATAATATTCCATAATATTTATTCAAAATTAATGTGATTTATCTCCCAAAATATTTTATTACTTCAGCCGAGATATGAGCAATGTTCCGCAAGTCTAGGAGCTTTTAAAGTTTCACACACAATCATATTACTTCAAAAACTAGTGTTGTTAAAGCAATTTGTTACATTTTTTTAAATTAATGATGTATAATACATCATTTTTTGTAATGTAGAGACAAAAGTAGTTTTTTTTTTAAATTTTTATATATCGTTGGCTGAATATTAAGCTTAATATTGTATATCCATTTTTAAAATTACAGATAACAATTGAAAAATTATTTCTTGCATTTTATATATTCCCAGTTTAATAATTCAAATAAATGTGGATGTGTTGAGAGGGGGTTTAATCCTCCCTATTACAAATGATGGAGGGAGGGGGGGGGGGCTTTGCATTTTTTTAAAGTGTTAGATTTAAAGCCCTTTTCCTTTTAGAGTCAAAAAATTTTTATATTTTTTTAGCCACTTGGAATAAATAAGCAGAAAGTTTTATTTTTCAATATTTAAATTTTATAGATAATCTATGCCGCCATCGCTGTGTTTATTTTAAATATAGTTCAAAACAATAAAGGTGATATCGCTCCATTTTACAAGGTTTTGGAGGAATTCTAAAGAGGCTAAACCTAGCGAAAAGCTAACATCTTAGCCTCGCTTATCGTCTACAAGAGAGCCGGGGGGGGGGGGGGGGGGTAGTAATAGCTTCAATATTTTCGAGGAGATCGAGGAGTAGACATTTTAGGGGATAGGCTAGGGATTGGAAGAATTTATTGAGGAGTTAGCTATTAAATTTTTAGATGAAATATGGCAAAATGTATTGCTATAAAAATTATATTTTTATTTAGTGTTGTAATAAAGGAATGCGTTCACGTTTATTCAAAACTTTATGATTACATTTTATTTTTTAATTTCATTTAATATTTAATTTTATACCTTTATCCATGTTTTAAATTACTAGTTTTGTGTAAATAAAAAATTATATTAATTTTAAAAAATTCTTATTATTATTATAAAAAAGATTTATATATAATATAAATTTAATTGTGTTAAACCATTAAAATATAAAACCCTTGATACCGAAATTTCCTTTTTGTCGGTAACGTCACTATAGGAGGGGGAGAGGCGCAGGAGCTCAAGCTCCCTAGAAAATTTGAAGAGCCCCTTCAAAATTTTGATATTTTATTTTTTACCAAGTTTTGATAGAAAATGTTAGCTACAAAAAAGTAATTTTGTAAATAATTTGAAATTTTTTTGGGCCCCCTGAGATTGTAAAGACTAGTGACACCTCTGTTTTATGTATCTATTTTGATAATTTAATAAGCCTATGAAATGCAACTATCTAAAAATTATTAAAAAGATTTGTATAATAAATTACAAACAATAATCTTTTATATTAGAAATATTTTGAAAATGATATTTAACTTTTTGAACGCATTTTACATATGGTAAGGATATAATAAGTTTATTGAATATATGATGTTATTGTAAATTATTTATTTTATTTGGGTCATTATTGCAATGTTAATCGATCTGATTCTCTAACATCCATTCCTAAGCTAATCTGGCTAATCTATAAAATATAAATAATATTCAAATTAATAAAACTAGTAGAAAGCCCGTCAAAAATGACGGGGAATGAGATTTTTATTCATTTTTTTACGAATAGATGTCATGCCAGATCCAAGCTCAAAATATTAGGAAGCATATAATTAATAAAAAGTTTATCCAGCCCAGCTCAACCCTTAATAATTTGTTATAGATAATATCATGTCAGGTGCAAGCTAATATAAATTTTGATTCAAGCCCAGTCGTATCCAATATAATTTTGAAAATTTTTTCCCACCTCGGAGATAGTATAATTTTTAATTTATTTATCATCACATGAAGGGGAATTATCTGATTTACCAATTAGTTTAAGATGTAAAAAAAAACATGAATTAAGTATTAATGGAAACTGGGAAGGCCTGGGCAAACCACTTATTAGAGAATCATGACAAATAAAATAAAAATAACCGACTCTTATACTTTTTGGTAAGATCAATTATAATTATATATATATAAAAAAATTGTTGTTTATTATATAGGGTTATTGTAGCTTTTCGGATAAATTTAATGTATGTCTTGCATTTCCCAAATTATTTGTCTATATTTTATGTTAAGTAAAAAAAAAAATGCTAACTATTTAAATAACAAAAATGCCATTAAACACTAATGAAACTTATATGCAAATTATATATATTTTTTTTAAGAAAATATTTTTTATTGACATAAATTTAGGCTAATTTTTTTTAAAAATAATGAGGAATAATTATTATGTTGTATATTTGATAAAATTAAGAGCAAATCCTTGTTGACATTTTTATTTTTGATGGAAAAAGCGACAAAATAAATCTGAAAGATTGTCTGGAAAGGAAATAATTAATGTACAATTTCACAGAGTCTACATGGCCGGGTGGGGGGGGGGGGTAGGAGACAAATGCCTCTAAAATATATTAGCATTTTTGGGGGTAGGTATCGATTTTAAGGGGTTGATATTAAATTTTTGGGGGTAGGCCTTATTTTTTTGGGGGTAGGTATTGATTTTTGGTGGGTAATTTTTGATTTGAATTATAATCTTTTTTAAATCCATTAATTGATACGATTATGATGGTTATCGTTTGATTTTCTGAAAAATGTCAATTAAAGTAAAGATATTTGTCAATTAATGAATAATATAAATTTTCTTTGTCAACGATTTTCATTTAGCATTTTATCAAGTTAATATTTACACATTTCCTATTTGGTACTTTTCTTAGAGGTTAATATATTTATATTATGTTTTTTAATAAATTTATAGATTTTAGCAGGATAAATTTTAGGTAATTTTTTGAGTCATGCATAAAAACATATATCAGCAAGCAAAGAATAATAAAAAACATAATATGTAAAAAATTATATTATAATAATTATTTCTTTCTAGATGCCAAGTAACAAAACCATATTTAAAGTTAAGTGCAATATTAAAAATTGCAAAACTTCTAAAATAAGAAGTGACAAGATACATGAACATTATAAACATAAACATCCTCATGTCAAGCCAGCTGATATGAAATTTACAAAGGTAGCCATCAAAAGAGATAATAATAATTGGGTATCTTTAAATTGTGATATTCCATATAATATCACAAATGGAGTTGAAACCCAGTTGCAAAAAAAGACAATAACATCTTACTTCCAAAAAGTAATATTTTTATTTATTATTGTAACTATAAATTTGTGAATTAATAGAAACTGATTTAAAATTTTACCAGAATAATATTAATATTAAAGTAGTCAGGGTATAGAGAAAATAAATTATATATATTATTATTTAATGTTTTTTAACTGTTTATCACACTATTTTTATATCTATATATACTTTATAAAGTTCAATTTAACAATATGTTTAATAAGTTAATAATAATAATTTAAAACCAAAGTATTAAAAAAACTTATTAAGTTAATATAATGTAGTAAAATAAGGTAATGTTAATTTCTAGGAATTTTTAAATTTAAATCTTTTCATCTTTAATTGAATTAAGAGTTCAAATTCTTTTACTTTTTTTAAATATAAATCTTATAAAATATGATTTGGAATCAACTATTTTCAAAATGTTAGCTGTGTGAGTTTCATCCCCTTTATTTACATTATGTGTTATATTAGGTATGTTTATTATCATTGTTTTATTTAGCTATTAGAATTTATTTAGATAATATACTTTCATCATGAATTTCACAATTTTATTTATACTTAATATTGTTTTTATTTTTATAGTCATTATAATATTGTTTTATGATTTCTTCATGTGATCGCAGTTTTATATTAATCTGCATCTATCATGCCTATGTATCTTTCAAGTATATTTTAAAAATGTTTTTACATGATCTAACAAAGTCATATTGATGTTTATGATTATTGCGTTCAAAATATGTGAATTCCCTTTGTATTCTACATTCACTTGTGCTTTACCTATTACTTGTATCATCTTTCCATTGTAACCTGATAACTTTATGTTGGACTTCATAATATTTTTAATACCTGTTTTCTCAATCATGTATTCATGTAGAATTAAAACATTTATTAAAAACTTAATTATAATGTAGTTAAAAAAAATTATCATTTGCCTAAAAATTTATTAAAAATATAGTTATCATAAGGAAAGAAATTAAACTCCTCTTTATTTATAGAAAATCTCAGTTATTGAAGATTCACAAATTGTATTATCTCCTCATCCAATCCCCAGTTCCAGTGAGGTGTTTACTTTGTATGATGAGGTATTTAATTTAAATACGAATTATATGATAACTTTTGAAAGAAATAAATTATGATTATGAGGTTAATTAAATATTTCCAACCTTTATTAAAAACTTAATTATAATGTAGTTAAGAATAAAATGACCATTTGACTAAAATTTTATTAAAAATATAGTTTTTCATAAGTAAACAAATTATACTCTTTATAGCAAATCTCCAATATTGAAGATTCACAAATTGTATTATCTTCTCATCCAATCCCCAGTTCCAGTGAGGCGCTTACTTTGCATGATGAGGTATTTAATTTAAATACGAATTATATGATAACTTTTGAAGAAAATAAATTAGGACATTTAAATATTTCCAACATTTATTGATTAACTTAATTATAATGTAGCTAAGAATAAAATGACCATTTGGCTGAAATTATATTAAAAATAGATTTTCATAAGTAAACAAATTATACTCTTTATTTATAGCAAATCTCCAATATTGAAGATTCACAAATTGTATTATCTCCTCATCCAATCCCCGGTTCTAGTGAGGCACTTACTTTGCATGAGGCATTATATTTAAATAA